ACTCTGGGCAAGTCACTTAACCCCACTGCCTGGATCAAAAGAAAAAAAAATGTATAGAGAATTGAGCCAAATTTATAAGAATACAAGTCATTCCCCAATTGATAAATGGCCAAAGGATATGAACAGATAGTTTTCAGATGAAGAAATTAAAGCTATCTACCATCATATAAAAAATGCTCTAAATCACTACTGATTAGAGAAATGCAAATCAAAACAACTCTGTGGTACCACATAACACCCTTCAGATTGGCTAACATGACAAAACAGGAAAATGATCAATGTTGGAGAAGATATGGGAAAATTTGGAATGCTAATGCATTGTTGGTGGAGTTGTGAACTGATCCAACTATTTTGGAGAGCAATTTGGAGCTGTGCCCAAAGGGCTATAAAAATGTGCATACCCTTTGACCCAGCAATAGCACTTCTAGGGCTGTATCCCAAAGAGATCACAAAAATGGGAAACGGACCCACGTGTACAAAAATATTTATAGTAGCTCTTTCTGTGGTGGCAAAGAATTGGAAATTGAGGGGATACCCATCCATTGGGGAACGGCTGAACAAGTTGAATATAATGGAATGCTATTGTGCTATAAGAAATGATGAGCAAGCAGACCAGAAAAACCTGGAAAGACTTGTGTGGACTGATGCTGAGTGAAGTGAGCAAAATCAGGAGAACATTGTACACAGTAACAGCAACATTGTGCTATGACCAACTTTGATAGACTTAGCTCTTCTCAGCAATGCAGGGATCAAAGAACTCTCCAAAAGTCTCAGGAAAATGCTATCCACAACCAGAGAAAGAATTATGGAGTCTGAATGTAGATTGAAGCATACTATTTGCTCTTTTTTTTCTTCTGTTTTGTTTTGTTTCTTCTTTCTTAGGGTTCCTCCTATTGGTTCTAATTCTTGTTTACAACATAACTAATGTGAAAATATGTTTCATTGGAATGTATATGTAGAGACTATACAGATCGCACGTCGTCTTGGGGAGCGAGAAGGGGAAGGAGAGGAGGGGAATTTAAAACTCAAAAGCTTATAGAAGTGAATGTTGTAAACTAAAAATCAGTTAGTTAATTTTTTAAAAGAGTATATATTAATTGTGTGTGAATATGTATATTATATTGTATGTGTATGTGTGCATATTCCTATATGTTCCTGTGTTTATGTATACTGTATTGCATATTTTATTAATCAATAAATATATAAGTATTTATTGTGTGTATATACCTTATTTCACTTTAAGAACTTTAAAATCCAAGGCTCCCATCAGTCCCAGCCTCACCCCTATGCCCACCTACAGTCTAGGGATATCTCCATGGAAAGCTGAGATAACAAGAGAAAACACAACTTCACTTTCAGAAAAGTTCTGTGAGAGCTAGAAAGGGAGCTAATGAATGAGGGGACATTTCTTCCTTAAACTGCAGTAACTATGACTGAGAAGTACCTAAGGATGATGGGAAAGACCAGTGGACTGGGGATAATGGGCCACACCAATCCAAAAAGTAATTCCTCTAATACCTTAGTGCAGAGACAGGTATTTAGAGAGAGTTGAAACCTTTCCCAGAGAGACACCACTTACAGAGTTTATCTGGACTTGAAGGCTTTGGGGAGTTCATCTCCCGAGGGATGTTTGGGAAATCCCCACCCTTTTGGTGCCTGAAAGCAAATAGGAAGTCTCTGCTCCTAGGCCTATGTGATTTGGAGAGGAGGGAGGGCAATGTAAGGCGTAAGGGAGGAGCTGCCCTGGATTCTGCTCCAAGCCCACCACCCATCCCACAGTGTCTGGTCAGGAGATTCCTGTGAAGGACAAATACAGGCCTCCACTGAGTCACCGGGAACCTGGAAAAGAAGAAGGGAAGTTCTCAGTCTGGGATGTTTCCTTGTAATTCTGTCTCCCCTGGATCTACTGAAGATTCCTCTGTAAGTTTGATCCTTTTCTTAATCATTTACATTGATCCCCTCAATGTGCACATCTGGGAAACCGCTCAGTTTGCAGAGGGAGAGTCACAGAAGTTTCTGCTGCTGTGTTCTGATATTTCCCCCTTGGAGGCAAGGAGCAGCCCCCAACCTGCACGCGCTTTTTTATAAGGCCCACAGGAAGGAGGGGGAGTTTTGTCTGGAGTGATTCAGAAGCCCCTGCAGCCTGAGGGTGCCAATGTTCTTCTTTGCATTTCTCCAGGCCCAGCTTCGGGGTCATTGTGCATGGACCCCATAAATGCCTTGATTTTTCTCCTATTCTCAGTCTGGATGAACAGACCCACCCTTTCCCAGGCATTTGTCCCCAAAGCAAATGATTTCTCAGTAAAGAGGAGCTGAAGCCACAGCACTCAACAATCCAGACACCTGCAGTTGATCATGTTCTGTGCCGGTCAATTACCTGGTCCGGCAGAGGTGAGCACCTGTTGCTGCATCCTCCTCCTCCCCCGCCCACCCTCAGTAGAATGTCAGCTACTTCAGGGCAGGGATAGTTTCACTGTCTTTGTATTCCCTGCACCAAACCCAGGGATGAAAGTTATTCTGGGCCCAGTAACTCAAAAGATTAAGTATTGAGCAAATGTTTATTACCATTTGGCACAGAAATGCAATAAAGAGATAACTGCATTTCCTTCCCTCCTTTCCAGAGGTGGGACTATGGATGTGCAACATTGTTGGACTTAGTTCATACGATGGTTAGGTGTGCTGAAATCCTTTTTCTCTTCTTTTTTTATTCTTTGATTTTTAAAAATTGACTCTGTGGGGGACAGTATATAGTACAATAGAAATTATGTAAAAGGAAAACTTATTGATATAAATTTTAAAACAAAAACAAATAAATGAATGACTTCATGAATTAATAAAATAGTAAATAAACAAACAAATGCATGCGTGCATACATTAAATGAAAAAACAAATGTCTGTTGCATTGAATTAAATGGTTCAGCCCACCCTTAGCCCTGTCCACACAGGTAGTAGAAGGAAGCCTGACCCCTGTATACTAGAGAAAGAGCAGAAAAGAGAGAAGGATGAAGGGTGAGTTGGAGGTGATGACCAGCACATGTGCTCAGAGAAGAAAGGAGAGACAGGTGTGCCCCCAACCTTCTCTAGAAGACTCATTTCTATACTTCACTGTCACATCATGACAAGAGAAAGAGGAAAGGGGAAAATGAAACAGGCTTTTTTAAGGGCCTACTATGTGCCAGGCACAGTTTTAAACACTTTACAAATATTACTTCATTTGATGCTCTGAAGAACCCTGTGAGGTTGGTGCCATTATTGGCTTCATTTTACAGTTGAGGAACTTGAAGGAGGCAGATGTTAAGTGACTTATCCAGGGTCATATAGCACTTGTGACCAATGAAAAGTCCAAGAGATGTAACTTCTGGGTAATTAATAATCAATTTATTAAGTATGGCTAGCAAATAATAGATTGAGGTCATTGGCCTGCCTAGATGCCAAAGATACCCATTAGAGAAGTCTTTTTGACTTTTGAAAAAGAGGAGATGTGCCTGAGGGAGGAAATCAACTCTGATTGGTTAACAATCAGTGAGTGGTGGTAACTGATGTGGGCTGAAAGCCTTCAACTCTACCTGCTGAGGGTGTGATGAGGTTCTGCTGTCTCCTGCTATCTCAACAAAGGCATCCCATCTCTACACAGTCGATAAACAATGAACAATTGTGGGGTAAGAATAACACCTACATAAGGTTGTCTTTCTAAGATCTTCTACTTGTGTGGAGGTAGGGTGGGGGTGGGGAGTGAGGTCCCATCCACGATCAAAAAGCATTTACCCAGAGGATTTGGGCAATCACATCCATTAGCAATGCCCTTCAGAGACTGACTGGATAACCTATAGGGGACCAGTTTCTGAATGAGGAAATAGGAACACAGTTTTAATCCTAATTGAATAATTGGTTATTAATAGGAGTAAAATAATCATTTCTCTCATTATTAAGTGTCTGAGACAAGATTTTAACTCATTTCTTACTCGAGGTCTAGGTATATGCCTCTGTGTTTTGTGGCACCATTTGCTTGCCACCAAGAGAAGGAGTGGGGAAAAGGAGTCTCTAACTCTTGAAATTAGAGATGGGTGGGGCAGCTAGGTGATACAGTGGATAGAGCACCAACCCTGAAGTCAGGAAGACCTGAGTTCAAATCTGGCCTCAGACCAAACACTTGACACTTACTAGTTGTGTGACCCTGGGCAAGTCACTTAACCCCAATTACCTAAAAATTAAAAAAAATTTAAAGAAAGAAATTAGAGATGGGAAAAAAATCTCTGGAAAAGTCCCTGATGCACTTCCTTGTCTTCCCGTCCCCAGGGCTTCTGAGAGGAGCAGGGCTTCCTGGGACTGGGACTGTTATAAAGACCCCAGACTCAATTCAGAATTCAGCCCAAGACTAGGCTGGTTGAATTCCCTGAGCTGGGTAATAACGAAATCACCATCGTGGAGTGAGAAAAGAGATACTTTTATTGTCAATTCTCATGAGAATCAGGTGTGTATATTCCCTCACTGGACCCACACACCCCCATACAGAAGCAGAGCAAGTGATTATATAGGATTATTTGGCTTTAACCCCACCTTGTCCCACCCTCCCTTTCATCCATTGGTCAGGGACAGACAGGACATCCCTCTTCCTGGACTGCCCTTTGCATGTTACTCCTTAATGTGTCTCCCCTCCCTCGTCATGCGATGCACATATAAAAATGGTGGCTGTTTCCTCTCATGGGGTGTGTAAGTTAATATGCATGAGGCTAATTAAGCATGCATGTTAGTGAGAAGTCAGTGACCGTCCCTTGACCCTGACCAGCTTGAGCCAGTTTCAGCCTGGTCCCCCTTTAAGAGGAACTTATCGAATTCTTCCAGCTATATGATTGGATAGGGTCATTCTGCCCTCCCTGTCCTCCTGTTTTACACATTTCTGCACATCCTGTGTTCCTATCAAATTTGTAGGAATCAAACTGTTAGCATTTCTCACAGGACCAACCACACCTGAGCAGTGGGAATTTGTTCATGACAATGTAATGGAGAGAAGTGCAAATGAGAGTTTAGTTCTTGTGGAACCTGGAAATTTTGATTTGGGCGACTGGATGGAGATCCTCACTGCGCTCATTGCTATAGTCGGGCTGGTGGGGAACAGCGTCGTCCTGTGGCTTCCGGGCTTATGAATCCCCAGGAACCCTTTCTCGGTCTGCATCCTCAACATGGCCAGAGCCAATGTCCTCTTCCTCTGTTGCACCTTTCTGTTCTCCACAGCTGAATTTATTAGCTATTTGTATCATTCTTTCATGTACAATATGAGGGACCTCAGACATATATTCTACTCTGTGGGCCTGAGCCTCCTGGCTGCAATCATTGAGTTGGAGTGGTTCATTGTCCTCACTTGTGTGATCCGTGTCAGCCTGATTCTGCTGCTGAGGGTCCAGGGCAGCTCCCGGCACCAGCAGCCCCCCAGGCTCTACCTCCTGGTCCTGCTCACAGTCCTCCTATGCCTGTTCTGGACCTGCCACTGCAGATGGGACATTACATACATCACGTTGACATAGTTTTCATGATTTATTGGTTCTGTCAGTTCCTGGCCTGTGTGAACCCCCTCTTTTACTTTTTCCTGGGCTGCCAAATGCATAAAAGAAGGATGGAGCCCCTCAGGGTGATACTCCAGAGAGCCCTAGGTGGCAAGCAGGAGGTCAGAGGGAGGACTAGGGGCACCTAGTAGATGACATCACTACAAGAGATAGGTGCTTTCATGATCCACATTTTACCCTTGAGGAAACTGAGGCAGGCAGAGGTTCAGAGAGTGACTTGCCCAGGATCCCAAAGTAAGTATCTGAAGCTAGAGTTGAACTCAGATCTTCCTGACTCCAGGCTGAATGCTCTGTGCACTCTGGACCCCCTATCATGCTGGAGGCTCCTTTCCTGGGGAGTCAGGTCCAGAGCCTCATGTGTCACCAGCGCAGAGGAAGGCTACTCCAACAAATAGCCACTGGTCCTGTTTTGAAAAGTACAGGAAAAGGAAAGACATCCTCCAAGGCCCCATGTCTCCCTGACCGCTCCTACAGAATCTCTTCAAATGAAGGCAGAGTCAGGGGTCAGACTCCTCAAGGCTCTGTGGGCCACACTCCCCTACCTTGTCTTCTCTCAGGTTTGATCCACCAGGTTCCCTCAGGCCTTGTTCCCCATAGCCTTGCCCTAAAAGGGGGAGATTCCAGCTCAGCCATGTCTCCCTCCATTCTCTGCTAGTGCTCCTTTCCCTTCCCCCCCCCACTCCCATCATAGGAGCTGAGTCAAATACTTCTCTCCCTCTGAAGGTCAAGGCTGGGGCTGAGCATCCTCTCTTGTTTCCAGTCTGTTTCTCCAGGTCTTTGTCTCTCTGAATCTCTGTGATTCTATATTTCTGTGACTGTCTCAATTACAATCTCTCTTTCCTTCTGCATGACCCAGTTCCTGATGATAGCAGGTATTAAAGTGGTGTTACATGAGAGGGTGCACCCTGATGAGACCACAGCACACATATACATATCACACATGTCACACAACATGCATACTCAACACACATACATGCTGTACACATATACATACACACAAACACACACACACACTGAACAACAATCTCCTATGGAATATCTTGACTGTAAGAGATCATTCAACCTCCATTTGACTCCTCCAGTGACAATGACCTTGCTCTTTCCTCGGTGGTTTTATCCGGTCCTGCCACAGAATGGTGTGATTATATGATTTTTTTAAACTTTTATTGTTTATATAATCAATTTTTCTATTAATTTTCCTTATCTTAAACCATCCTTGCATTCCTGGTCTTAATGCATCCACTTGGTCACAATTTGTAATCTTTGTAATATATTACTGCAATCTTTTAGCTAGTATTTTATTTAGGATTTTTGTATCTATATTCACCTATAATTTTCTTCCTCTGTTTTTACCCTTCCTGGTTTAGATACCAGTATTATATTTAGTTCATAAAGGGACTTTGGTAAGATCCCTTTTTTACCTATTATTCCAAATATTTTTTAATTAGAATTAGTTGATCTTTAAATGTTTGATAGAATTCACTTATAAATCCATCTAGTACTGGTACTTTTTTCTTAGGAAGCTCAAGCCTGTTAAATTTCTTTTTCTAAAACAGGCCTACTTAAATTTTCTAATTCCTCTTCTCCTAATCTAGGCAATTTATATTTTGGTAAATATTCTACCATTTCACTTAAATTGTTAGATATATTTGCATATAATTGGGCAAAATAGCTCCTTATATGATTTAATTTCATCTTCATTAGGGGATTCACACTTTTCATTTTTAATACTAGTCATTTAGTTTTATTCTCTCTTTTTTGAAAAAACAAATTACCTGATAGTTTATTGTTTTAGTGATTTTTTTCTTAAAATTGCCTCCCACTTTTATTTATTAATTCAATGGGTTTTTTACGATCAATTTTATTAGTCTCATCTTTAATTTTTAGGATTTCCAATTTATGTTTAATTGGAGATTTTTAGTTTGTTCTTTTTCTAGTTTTTTTAAGTGCATATCCAATTCATTGGTCTGCTCTTTCTCTATTTTATTGATGTAAGTATTTAGAGATATAAATTTTCCTCTGATTCTTGCTTTTGCTGTATCCCATAGGTCTTGGTATGTTGTCTTATTATTGACATTTTCTTTAATGAAATTACTAATTATTTCTATGATTTGTTATTTAACCTACTCATTCTTTAAGATTAGGTTGTTTAATTACAAATTAGTTTTTAATCTATATTTCAGTGGTCCCTAATTAAATATAATTTTACTGCATTGTGATCTAAGAAGAATACTTTTAATATTTCTGCTTTTCTGCTTTTAACCATAATTTTTTTATATCCTAATATATGCTCAGTCTTTGTAAAAGTACCATAAACTGCTAAGAAAAAAATTCCATTCAGTTCTCTCCAGATATCTATCATATCTAGCTTATCTAAAATTCTATTCATTTCCTTGACTTCTTCCTTATTTAATTTTGGTTGGATTTGTCAAGTCCTGAAAGGGGAAAATTAAAATCCCCTGCTATTATAATATTACTATCTATCTCTCATTTAACTTTTTCTCTTAAAAGTCTACATGCTATTGTATTTGGTGCACATAAATTCAATATTGCTATTGCTTCATTGTCTATGGTATCTTTTATCAAAATATTATTACCTTGCTTATCTCTTTTGATTAAATCTATTTAATTTAACTTTGAGACCATGATTGCTACTCCTGTCTTTCTTGCACAAGTTGAAGCATAATAAATTTTATGCCAACCCTCCCTTTTAAATCTGTGTGTATTTCCCATTCTTAAATGTGTTTTTTGTAAATAACATATTGTTGGATTATGATTTTTAATTCATTCCGCTATCTGTTTTCCATTTTATATTACACAGAAAAGTTGAGTATAATCCTTAATTTTCAAAAATGAACATTTAATGAACTGAAAGACTTTCAGGTATTTGTAACAAAAAGATCAGAACTAAGTGGAAAATTCAATATAGAAGATCCAGAAGAAGTATAAGGAAAATGTTAGATATTAATTATAAGGGACTCATTAAGTTCAAACAGTTTACTTCTTAAATATGAAAATGTCATCAGTATTCCTAAGAATGTCATCATTATCAGGGTAGTTTGACAGAAAGGTTGAGAATGAGTTAATATTATGGAGTGATTCTAATAAACAAAATTAGGGAGCAAAAAGTAAAAAGGAGTAATTATCTCATATAAATGGGGCATGAAATGAATAATTGACACAGAGGAAACAGGTTGGGATGGACAAGTGTAGTAGTGCTGGAAACTTACTCTCATAGGATCAGGGTTAAAGAGGGTAGGAACAATATATACATCAAAAAGGGTATTCAAGTCTTCTAAACTTATAAAGAAATAAGAGGATGAGGGGTCGGGAAAAGGAAGGGATTTTTAGCAGGTTGTGTAGGTTAAGATTTAGGAGGGCTGGGGAGAGGATAAGTAGGGGACTCAGTGGGGCGAATATAATAAGGAATTATAGGAGGGAAAGGGAAGAGAATAAGGTAACAGGGACAGGGTAAAAAGAGAGGCTGAGAAGGGTGATAGTGAGTAAAAATAGTATGGAAAGAAATTCACAAATGATAATTATAGTTTTGAATGTGAAATAATCTATTTTCTAGTCAATGATGTGGAACCTAGAGAGGAGTTAGATGTGAACTCTACGTGTCGAACAAGTCCGTTCAGCATGGCTTTGACTGCTCTGAGAGATGATCAATAAAGTTCGCAAGCCATCAGCATTTCTTGAATGTTCTTTTGTGGTTCCAATTGCCCTGATAGAAAGGGGAACAGGAGCAACAAATTTACATAGAAATCTGGACCCAAAAAGGGGAATGTTTGACCCAGTGTGAGAGGCCCAAGGAGCAGTCAGTAGGAAGATGCCCAGTGACAACAGGGGAGCCAAGAAATTGCTGAGGAAGGTGTTTCTGCAAAAACAGGGTTTCTGAAGAGTAGTTTGGTAAAATTTGTTAAACTTTTTTTAGCATAGAATAATAATTGTAACTAACAAGAAGGTTTGCAAATAACTGCACAGCTTGAAAATAGGTCAGTTCCTGAGAGCATGCACAGTGTGCTCTATCTTGTATTAATGCAGAATGCTGAAGCCAACAAAAAAGAGAATTTCATCGTTATATCAGAAGCTAAGAAGACCCAATCAAGGAATCGCTGTCCATGCTCTGAAAGGGACAGATAAAGGTCTTCAGTCCACCAAGCACATCTAGAAGCAGCCTCACCAAGCCTCTGAATGAGTCATCACAAGATTGGACAGTTCCTTCATTATACCTACAAGGTCAGTGCTGCTATTTTCCCCATTATAGACTCAGAGAGGCTTAGAGAAGCTGCATTAACTGCCCAGTGTCATATATGTAGTAAGAGGCAGAATTTGAATCCAGATTTTCCTGACCCCAAGTCTAGGAATCTGTTCATTATCCCAGAGCCCCTCACATAATCCAAGGGAACCAATTCGTTGGGATTGAGGCATGTATAAACAAAACAGATTTGCACTAAAATGATGCGATTGTTCCTGAACCTAAGAAAAGTGAGTGAGGTTTCTGACCTGCATTATTATCAGGAGACTGACAAAAGACAAAGGCAGTTTGTATGATTACTATTTA